GCTCTTTAAAAAAAGCAAAAAATAAAAAACTGTGCCTACCACAGACTAGTTGAATTATGATTTTTGGCTATAATTTCTGATTCCAATTTGATTCTGATGCAGAGTTGGTATTGAGGATCACTCTTAAAATGTACTTAGGATTGACATGAAATGCTAGAGACTTCTCTTCCTGCTACTTGTGATTTCCTTGGAAAATTTTATTAATCTCTCTGATTCTTAGTTCCTTCAGACATAAAATAAAGGTAGGGAATGGAAACTGCATTTATTGAACATATATGTGCCATTTTATTTAACTATCTCATTATTTCCCATAGCAACCTTGAGACATTAATCTCTTAATTTTATATGCTAAGGAATTAAGAGTCAAAGAGGTCAAGAAATCTGTCCAATTTGACATAGGTAGTGAGTGTCAGAGGTGAAATTCAAACACGGGTTTGTACTGTTATTGTTAGGTGCCATGAGTCAATTTTAACTCATAGCTAACCCTAGGTGACAAAGTATAACTGCCCCATAGGGTTTTCTAGGATATAACCTTTACGAGAGCAAGTTGTCAGGTCCTTCACCCATGGAGCCACTGGATGGATTTGAATTGCCAACCTTTTGGTTAGCAGCCAAGTGTTTAACCATTGCACCACCAGGACTCATTACAGATTTGCATAAAGATCTTAAAATTTTTCCCCAGGTGTAAAGTTTTATGGATATCGACATCAGTGACAATGTAAAGAACTTTTCCTTAAATACGGTTAAACAAGTTTTATATTGATGTATAACATACACAGAAAATAAGTGCACATATTACAATTGTGCAGCTCCATGAATTTTCAAAAAGAGAACACACCAATGTAAATACCACCCAGACTATTTTTTCCAGCATTAATTTTGCTGAGTGTGTTGCTAGAAAAATGTTCAATTTTATCTACATTGTCAAATTTATTAACATTAATTTGTTTAAAATTTCTATCACTTTTTTAATGTAAATATTGTAATCAAGTATAGCATGCATACAAGAAAGTGTACATGAAAGTTCATTTGGGTTCAATGACTCTTCACAAACAGAGAAGACCCATTAAAAAGAACCTGGCTTGAGAAACAGAACATTACCAACACACTAGAAATCCATCATCCCCTTTTCAAGTTACAGCCACCACAAAAGTAGACAGTTTCCTGATTTAAACATCAACTTGTTCAGTGTTAAACAGGTAATAAAATATTGGGCTTGAACCTGAACCTGAAATATTTTTCCACTTAGTCATTGCTTCTCACTGTGTCCAATGAAGTGCATACTTCAAAGGAATTGCAACAAATGTAAATAGCATGATTTTCTTTTTTGCTAGTACCTTCTTCATGAGTTCCTATTTGAAAGCACATAAATTTTGAAATCTGACAGATTGATATTTAAATCTTGACTCTGGACTCTGACATCACTTTTTTTGGGATATTGGGCATGCTACTTGTCTCATTTGTAAGTTGTGGTTAATAATATAACACTACCATGAGGATTACTTGAGGCAATGTATGTACAACACTTAACTCTGTTTGTCCCCTCAAAGAAGGGACTTACCTGGGTAGGACTTGGTAAAAATGGATATTTTTTGTAATTATGCTTGAAATATTTTAAAAATTTCGGTTATGGATTAAATGAAATGATGCATATGAAGTGCTTAGAGCAGTTCTGACACACAGTAAAACTCAAAAAATGCCAGTTGTTCTTATTACCAGTTTGAAAGAACTGGGTTTCCTAGTCCCCTACCCCCTTTATTTTCTCTTCATCCTCCA